AGGAAGGGAGCAGAGAAGACCCAATCCTCAGACTCCTTGTTAAAAACCAGAGTCCTTTTCCTGAACACATTCTCTTCAGCTCTTTGGCTTGAACTGGGTCATCCATCCTTGAGCTATAGTCGTGCCAAGGGGAGGGGCTGCTAAGAGAATCCAGGAGTGGAAGTGGAATGGAGGCTGGACATCCCACACAAACATCCACTCTCATGGAGGGAACTAATGAGCATGTTTTAAAAACAGAAAACTTTCCCTACCTGCTAGATCATGGTATTTAGGGTGTCACTTCCTTTCCTGGTAAGATGGATTGACTCAGGCCCCACTATGCTCCTTGGTCTTAGGCCTCATACTCATGGCTAGTGCTGGCCAAGTCTTTGAGTCCCTTTTAATCACAGAGGCCTTGTACTCCACGGAAACTCCCTTGGCATGGGGCTTCCCCACAGTCTGAGCCCTCTTGCCCAAGCAAAATAAGTGGACTTTCCTCACATACAACAAACCAGTGCTCTGTAACTAATGTGCACGTTCCCACTTGTCCCTTTGCAATCGTGACCATGGATCTTTTCTGCCTCTACCTTTGTCTCAGGGAGAAAAAAATGATAGGAAGGTGAGAAATCAATTGGGTCACAAGAAATTAAGCTCAGTGAAAGGCGAGCAATTACACCCGGGCAAACAACCTTGCTGCAACAATTAGACAGCCCCACCAAGGGAACCTGAAAACCACAGGGGTTGTTTTGACCCAGAAAAGCCGAGTGTTGCCTTTGCTGTCAGTCACAGTGACTTCAAGCCTTGGGAATGGATTTAGTCGATGATGGCACTGTGACAATTTTATTCATGCACAACTCTCAAGAGAGCTCGCACAGGTGGCACGAAGTCGCCTTCTCCTTCCTTCCATACATATATACTAATAGATGAACTAACATACCCCAAAGTGATGTGGGCATGAAATAATCTGAAATTTCTGTGTTAGGATCAGGCATGTGAAGTGTGTGTGTGTGTGTGTGTGTGTGTGTGTGTGTGTGTGTGTGTGTGTGTGAGAGAGAGAGAGAGAGAGAGAGAGAGAGAGAGAGAGAGAGAGAAAGACAGAGACAGAGACAGAGAGACAGAGACAGAGAGACAGAGACAGAGAGACAGAGAGAGACACAGATAACAGAGACCAGGACACACATGTGCCACAAATAGTACAGGTTACTATGTGGGCTGCATTGCTCAACTCTTCCAACATTTACCAAATGTTTATTGTACACCAGACTGGGGGCCAAGAAAACAAAAGATAACAGTCTGCATTCATAGATACTGCCAACTCCATTATCCCAAACCTCTAAAGAGGACTAGAAGGAAGTGAGAATGAAGCCCAGGAAGTAGAGGTCCCAGGTGTTCCTCTCTCTGGGGCTGGCAGACAACTCTCCCATGGCTTAGTGGAGAGGAGAAATGGAGGACATAAAGGAGTTCGTCCTAACCAAGGCAGGGTGATCCTGAAATAGTCACCATGAGGTGTGAGGAATGATTCACTGAGGGCTGGGTGGCAGAAGGGAGGTGTCCTCTGGAAACAGTTACTATGGGTGGAGCAGAAGGCCCAAGGTGGGCACATCAGCACTCTGGACCGGCCAATGCAAAGTCCCTCGCAACACATTAAAAATGGAAAAGGCTGTCTGTAAAAGCATATCTCTAAGGATATAGGATGGAGAAAATGAGAACTTTCACACATAAATGAGTTAGGATGTGTTTTACTTGAAAAACACGAAAAAGGGTGATAACGCATAAATGTTTTCACCTCATTTGTGGTGAAGGAAATGCAACCTAAAACAAAAAGAGCAGTTAAATGTGGTGGCTCACCTCTATACTCCCACCACTTGTGAGGCTGAAGTAGGTGCTGTGCTGTGATGAGTCCTAGGCTAGCCTGGGCTATGTAGTGATATGTGGGATGGTCTGGGTTACAAAGTGACATTTTCTCAAAATCCGCCCCCCCCACAACCTCAGGTCTCCCAACAAAGCAAATAAAACACCTCAAATAATCAAATAAAACAACACTACTAACAAACACTCAAAGAAAGATTCCATTTTCTTTTGCCTATCATCACATTCAATTTGGAAACATATTTAGCGTGGCTTAGGAGTTGTGGGGCATGGCCACCAAAGTGAGCGAATGCCCCTGAGTTATTCCTTAGTTTAGGGAAGCATGGAATTAAGAGTTTATTTAACCTTACCTAAAAGAGCTATCAACAAGAGAGTCAAGTCAAGGGAGGTCAGAATAAAGAAGAAATAAAGAAAGAAGAAAGAAGGAAGTGGGGGGGGTGAAGAAAGAGAAGGAGAGATACAGAAACACACAGAGACACCCAGAGAGGTAGAGACAGAAAGAGACACACACAGAGAGAGCCAGAGGGAGTCTAAGCCAGTGCAGTGAGTGCTGGAGCTTGGTGAAGAGGTGGAGGACGCTTGGCCCCCAGAGGGAGAAGCCAGTTGGCCTAGAAAGAAGCACACCTGCTTGCTGACCCTCTGGCTTCCTGTCAGACAGGAAATGCTTCCAAGAAGCTCAAGGACATGGAAGGTCACCAACAGCCAGGAAGCAGGAGCAGGTCTAATGGAGGCCCTGGTGTGGTGAGAGCAGAGTGAAACTCCCCTCCGAAACTATTTCCCAAACAGATTCGGTCTTGACTTTGGAAGCACATTCACAAGCCATGAGTTAAGCAGCAGGCAGGCAGGAGGAGCGGTTCTCCTGCAAAAAGCAGCCAAATGAATGTGGGAAAGAGATTTCAGAGTCACGGGTCTCCTGACAAATCAGCCAGGAAAGGGCCATTCAGAGCTGCGCAGGGCTCCTGGGGCAGGCACCTGCCTGGTGGATGGGGACTTAGGAGGAGTGGCTTGGTGAAGTCTGGGAAGTCAATTAGGAGCAAAGCCCCACCCAAGTCCGGCCCCTGGAATCTGTTCCCTTTACTGAGCTGTGCCAGACACTCCTTCTAATAGTTTTTCTGCTTTGAGCCCAGCCTCTCTGCTTCCACTCAATTTCTCCACATAAACTTAGACTTCCTCTTTCCACCAGTCTTCTCCCATTCACACTGGTGAAGAGGACAGCAGTAAGTTGAAACAAATGTGGATGCTAATTTGTCAGTTCAGCCAAGATGACTGGACAGCTACCCACCTCAGATGAGGTAGTGACCTGGCTATCCCAATCACTGCCACTGCCATCTTTAGCTGTAAGACAAGCCTTGAGAAAATGTCAGAACTGGATGGTGAGGCCTTGCGTTCCTCCCAGCCTTAGGGTTTCAGGAGACTAAAGATGAACACTGAGCACAAAGCAAGTGATTTCCCATGATGTCAGGAGACACTTAGGAATAGCCAAGCTGACTGGTAAGTAAAACAGATGCACATTAAAGCAATGAGGTGTATTTTCTTAACTCACAGTTTGGGAAAGATCAAATAAAGAAATAGTACTACCTTTCTCTGGGCTGGGAGAAGAGCCAAGATCCTCCACATTGTCAGAACTCAAGTTTGTAGAGTGTACATGCATCAAAAGTCTTAAAGTGAGCCATCTTTGACCTGGAAATCCTGCTCTATGAGTTCCTAGGCAACAACCAAGGGTCCATTCAAAATTTTAATTAGAGGGAATTTCTCTTTTGTTTCTTTCACTATGCTGTGTACTACTACAATCCAAAGACTGACCTGCTTTTTCTATGGCTTGATGTGATCCATTCTGGTAGGTAAGGGACACTCAAACACTTCAGGACTACCATGGCCCATGTGTACACCTGCCATGGGATTTCTCTCCATGCACCCCATCCACACAGGTAGGGTCACTGTTGCTCTGGTGTCTTGCTATGTGAGTGAGTGAGACCCTACCTTGAGCAGGCTGTTGTGGTCATCTATGGCCCTAGGACTGAGGGAACATTCTGTGACTTGATTGCCAAGGCCTTTTGCAATAAACTGCCTCTTCCTTCTTCCAGCCATAGAGGGGAGGTCATTGTCTATTTCTCCCTGGCAGACACTGTCTGCCTGCTCACTTACTGCCTCCATCCTGTTCTAACTTTTGGTCACCAAGGAGCTTGCTTCCTCCCTTGTGTAGCTAGAGTTTCCCTTCCTGGCCCACAATCAGGACAAATCTCTGACACCCGCCAGTCCCACAGCTGCTCAGACCCAACCAAGTAAACACAGAGACTTATATTGCTTATAAACTGTATGGCCGTGGCAGGCTTCTTGCTAACTGTTCTTATACCTTAAATTAATCCATTTTTATAAATCTATACCTTGCCACATGGCTTGTGGCTTACTGGCATCTTCACATCCTGCTTGTCATGGCTGTGGCTGGCAATGTATTTCTCACTCAGCCTTCCACTTCCCAGAATTCTCCTCTCTCCTTATCCCACCTATACTTCCTGCCTGGCCACTGGCCAATCAGTGTTTTATTTATTAACATATTTGCCATACAGAACATCCCACAGCACCCTTGCCTTTGGTGTCTCTTCCTGGAGTCCTTTTGTCCTTCAGTGGTGGTGTGCGAGAAGTGTTGGTGACATCAGATCCCAGTGCCCATATACTCAAGCATGCACTAATATCCTATAGCATGTTCTTGTTTAATTTGTTTTAAGTATGTCTGTTTTTAATTTACAAGATCCCTAAAGCCAGTATTATAATTTGTATTTGAAAGGTCATATGATATAAAAGAAAGAACAGGGTGTGTAATCAGACAGACCAGGATTTCAATACTATGTGATGTTAAGTTCCTTAACCGCTCCAATCTTGAGTTTTACTTTTCAGAAAATGAAGTAATTTATTTCACAGGATGGCACTGTGAAGCTGGGATCAGCCACTTGGCACAATGCATGCATCTGAGTACACGATCCATAAATGTTTTGCTTTCCTAAACTGCTACAGGAGAACAGGGCTTAGCCCATGGGAGTTTTAGATAGAATCCTGCACCCCAACTAGTTCCCAAAGGACTTTGGAACAATGACTGATCTGAAGATGTAAAGTACAAAAGCAATCGGATTGGGTCCAGCCCACTGGGCTCTCACCTGATAATGGTCAGTGGAATGAAGTACACCAGAAAGGCCACGATGGTCATGTACGGGGTCCAGTAGGAGTCATCTGGCCACAGTGCCCAGCACTGCACCTCGCCATTGGAGAGTGTCCTTTTCCCAAATATGATCAGTGTGGGGATGGAGAACAGGAATGAGAGGCTCCAGGCTATCCCAATGAGGACTTTGGCTTGCTTCTCTGCTTAAAGAAAAGAGAAAGATGTCTGGGCACCTGGGAACATGCTTGGGGAGCACACAAAGGCCACTATAGAGACTGATTTCTGAGAGCTACTGGGACCTGTCAGTGTCCCCAGAAGCCTCAGTTTCCTCATAAGGAAATGGGTGTGAGCCTTTTGCTGTAGGGTAAAGCTCCCATGTGGGGGTACAGGCCCACATGTATCCCACTATACACAGCTCTGCGATTCCTCTTTTAATCTCATTTAGCTGGCTGGTACAATTTCCTCTCCCCATGTTTAATCTTTGCAATTCTTTAATTAGCAGTCAAAATGAACACTTCTGTGTGTCTCCTAATTATTTCTTTGTTTCTTGATCTGTGCTTACTTCTTTTCTATTTTTTTCAGTCGATGTTCTTATGTCTTTGCCAAAATTGTCATAAGAAAGATATTAGCTCTTCGTCTTTTTATTTTTTCTCATCCATGTGTCCCTGTGCTGTAGTTCATGGTTTTTATTTGTATAAATCATTTAGGACCTTGATGAAGTGACAAATGGTTTCCTTTACTGCTTCTGCTTCCAGCGTGGTTCCTAGAAAGTCCCTTTCCTTGTTAAGATGATGGAAGGTTTGTCATTATGTTCTCTTAGTCCTTCATATTTGAATGACTGACTTTTCTGGTCCACCAGGGTCTGTTTTTAATTAGCTGTGACATGGGGAATTAACGTTTTCAACTGGCTGTAGAGCTAGTCCAATATTATGTATTAACAAACCTGTTCTTTTCCAATGGATTTAATTTGCCGTGTGTGTGTGTGTGTGTGTGTGTGTGTGTGAATTCTTTGGGAGCATTTTAAATGCATTATATATTTTCTCCAGTTTAGCTTTTAAAAGATAACTGATTTCTGCCTGTCTTTCCAACGATATTTCAGTTTCTATGGGTATATGAGAAGGCTAGGGACCCATGAGGCCAGGTCTGCCTGTGTGCAGAGCAGAGGGCAGCTAGCTGGTCCTCTACAGAGCTCATTGCCAATCACTGATGGCTCTTGGGAACTCACAGAGTCTCTTCATCAGCAGCATCTTCAAGTTCTTCCACCCCTACTGTCCAGTCAGAAAGTGCAGAACACAGGAGCTGGCTGTGGGTGAGCCTTCGTGGTGCCTCCATACCTCAGGACTCCCAGCTTCCTAGGCTCTGCCTCCCCTCCTGCTCTGTGCACCAGACACCATTAAGAAACATTCCTAGCACCACTCATTACTGTGAGCATCACAGTATGTTTTGCGCCATCTGCTTTTTTTCTTTTAGGGATCCTGTACTAAGGAGAAGTTCCTTTGTTTTCAGTAAATTAACAACACTTTTCCAGTTTTGTGGATTTGAAGTAAGGAAAGCCAGGTGTTTGTTTCTTGAAAATGAAGAACATGAAGAGACAATACACATTTCATCGTAAGGGTATGCTTGCTGCCAGGGCTGTAAGGAACTAGGTGGAAACACATCCCTGAGGTGAAGAGTCACAGCATGGGGCCACCAAGGAGTTCTCTCATGGGGGCAGGATCAGGTAGCATTCCCCAGACACCCCAACTTTCTTTGTGTATATGTGGACACTCAGATCCATTAGGCAGTGAATGAAGAGGAGAAAGAGAACAAAGAGAAGAGAAAGAAAAGAAGGGCGTGGTTGGAGCAGAGAAAAAATATTAATAAAATATTAACAAAATAATCCTACTCCATGAAAGGATCTTTATGAAAGAACGCTTGCTCACCTCCTTGAAGAAACTTCATGGGGTAAACGATGGCATGGTACCTGTCTATGCTGAGGGACACCAGGACGTAGGTAGAGGCATAGAGCAGGACAACCTAAGGCAGGAAGCAGAGGACATCTGTGACTTCACATGGGAGAGGTAATTCACATAGCATTCTTGCTATTTAGAGACCAGAGGATTGAACCAAGGTGCCCATGAGGGCTGAGGGAGAGAGAGGCGCTGTCAGGCCCTCCCTGCTGGAAGCAGATCTGGGCTTTGCTGCTAGACTTTGCATTGCTACCAGAGAGAGTGTGAGAATGGTCATGGCTCCCTCAATGCATTCATTGGCTTCTTGGAAATTCCAGATTTCAGGATCAGTCTCTCTTGACATTTGCTTGGTACATTTATCTGTAATTGACTTTTAAAGTTAAACGAATTTTCTCTGCCACAGTTGACATTCCAGAATCATTAGAAACAAAAGTTCATTTGCCTTTTATCAGTGAGAGTAGTTGAGAGGTGGAAAAGGGTTCTGGTTTCCTGGAGTCGACATGCTGTTCCAGTCATTTACCCCAGCGTCACTCTTGGAGAGCTCACCCCTTCCTCCAGGGCTCTAGAGCTGTATGTGGCCTGAGCTTCTGAACCTGGCTTCCCTCCTCCTACTCTCCGTTGGCTAACCTCATCCATACCCTCTACATATCATAGACACGGTCTTATTTGCCTTCTCTGTAGAGGAAGAAATTGGGATGCAAGCTAACATCTCTTCTGTGACAGGTTCGTATTTAGAATATAATTAGATTAAATATGTCAGAAAGTCTGATCTCAATGGAAATTTTTGGAGTAACCTCAGCGAGGTTATTTCCTTTTGTGGATGAATATAGGGGCCATAGAAGATGGGAGTATAGGGGTGAGAGTCTGGCTTTCTCTTTGGTGATCATATTTATTTGGAGTTTGTATCTTTGTTGTTCTTTCTGTAGCTCAAACAAATTATAATTGCATTATAATCAACTATACTAGATCAGCCCATTATAGTTGCACTTCAGTTTAGGTTACTGCTACCTGAAATGTAGTCATTTGATATAGCATTTGACAACACTAATCCTGTGAACATCATAGCTTACCCTGCTTTACAAATGTTGAGAACACTTATATTAGCCTCCAATTGGGCAGAATTATCACACACAACCTATCTCATACTATAAAGTTGGCGAGCTCCTGTGCTGAACGCAAAAACCCTCATTACAAGGGCGTCCTATCATACATTCTAAAAATCACACACTGGGTCATCAGAAGTTAGGACCATCTGTGCCATTCTTTCTTTTTTTTAAAATCTCTATAACATAACCACAAACACATTCCAGAATTAATGTTGCAGGGAGAGAGTTGTAAAGAATGATCAGAGATGGATGCCCCATTCCCTGAAAGACATGAAAAGAATTTTTCTTGTGTAAAAAGTAACCAAAGGAGAAACTAAAAGAGTTTGATTAAGTTTAAAGAGAAAAGTCAGACCAATGCCTCCTTCAAGAGAACTGGTGTTCTGTGTGTGAGCCGTGGATTTAGAGTGGCCTAGGCTGACCACATGGTGCCCAGAACGTGGCATCAAAGGACGGGGGGGGGGTGGGCAGCAGGGGAGAAGATCATAGTGGGCAGTTTCTAAGAGTCTTGAACATCTGTGTTGTCCTGAGGGAGGTGGTGCCCCAGTTCAGAATCTGGGACAGGAAGAAAAGTCACTGAAAACAGATTTTCAGGGCTGTGGGCAATATTAACAAAGATGATACTAACTAACATTGAGACATAGCTGAGAAGAGTATTTAACTTTGGAGATGAAACATCTTCAAACATCTAGGTGGTGCAGTAAAATAAAATAAGCCTATCTAAAAGAAATACATCACAAATTATCATGCTTCTCCGTAAAAAAAGCAAATGCCAGAGAATGTGTTCAGGATTTTGAAAGAAAAGTTGTGATCCAAGAATTTTGTAAATTTAATTTCGATGCCAATGCACAGAACAGCTTTTTTTGGATATGTATGAAGGAAGGAAATATAACACCCCCCCCTCTTCCAAAATTCTCATGAGGAAACTGAGTAAGAACTGTTTCAAAATTAAGAATAAAGGGGATAAAATAACAATGTCATATAAGGAAGACATCAAAATACAAGATGCTTACCAGATAGTTAGGAATATAAAGATGGAATGAATATTCCAGGGAAGAATCCGGAGAGAGGTGTGAGGGGAGAGTATAAGAGCAAGGTGTTGTTAAGTCCTCACTTGGATATTTATATAATTTTCTTTTTTTTAAATTAAGAAAAAAGTTCATTTTACATATCAAAGATCCCCTTCTTCCTTCCTCCTGCCCTTCCATCCTCCCCCTCCCAGCCCATCCCCCATTCCCCCTACAAGAAGGCAAGGCCTCCCATGGGGAGGTACATTCAGCAGAGGCAGGTCCAAGCCCCTCTCCCTGCCTCAAGGCTGTGTGAGGTGTACCATCATAGAAGTGGGCTCCAAAAGGCCTGCTCATGCACCAGGAATGGATTCTGATCCTACTGCCAGGGGGCCCCCAAGCAGATCATGCTACACAACTGTTTCACTATGCAGATGACCTGGTCCAGTCCCATGGAGGCTCCACAGCTGTTGATCTAAATTTCATGAGTTCCCACTAGTTTGGTTTGTTGGTCTTAGTAGGTTTCCCCATCATGATTTTGATGCCCTTTGCTTGTAGAATCCCTCTTTTCTCTCTTCAACTGGACTCCTGGAGCTTGGCCTGGTGTTTGGCTATGGATCTCTGCATCTGCTTCCATCAGTTACTGGAGAAAGGCTCTGTGATGACAGTTAGAGTGTTCACTGATCTGATTAACTGGGGTAAGTCAGTTTAGCACCCTCTCCACTATTGCTAGTAGTCTAAGCTGGGGTCATCCTTGTAGATTCCTGAGAACTTCCCTAGCACCCAGTTTCTCCCTATCTCCATGATGTCTCCCTCTATCATGGTATCTCTTTCATTGCTCTCCCACTCCATCTCTGTTCCAGCTCGACCATCGCATTCCCTTATGTTCTCATCCCCCATCTCCTACCCTCCATTGCCCACCCCTCGTCCTCAGTTTACTCATGGAGATCTCATCTATTTCCCCTTCCCAGGGAGATCCATTCGTCCCTCTTTGGATCCTCCTTGTTAGCTAGCTTCTCTAGAGCTGTGGATTGTAGTCTGGTTATCCTTTGCTTTACATTTAGTATCCACTTATGAGTGAGTCCATACCATGTTTGTCCTTCTGAGTCTGGGTTACCTCACTCAGGATGCTATTTATATAGTTTTCTATTTGCCATTGATAGAGATACATCTAAAGACAAAAGGGAAGTTACAACAAAGTAAACTTAAAATGGAGAAAAATGAATTTCTCTGCCTTCTGTGGTTACTGTGGCAATAGCTACAGGCTTGGTGGCTTAAATAACATCAGTTTATTTCTCTCAGAGCTTTGGAGACAAGAAATCTAAAACAATTCTACTAGCCCCATATCAAGATGTTTGCAGGGCTATGCCTCTTCTGAAGACTCTGGGGGAGAATCCATGCCCAGTGTCTGAGCTTCAGGCAGCTGCCAGCATCCTACCCTCGTGGCCTTCAATGCAGTCCCTTCCCTCATGCTACACTCTCCCCTCTTCTGCTTGTATGTCAGATCTGTATTTTCCTCTTACAATTACATTTTAGGATTTCCTGAATTAATTTAGGAGAATCTCACATTTCTAATCCTTAGTCACAATGCCAAATCCCTTTCTGTCACATATGGTGGGTAGTAGGCATAGGCTCCCAGAGTTAAGGTGCAGATGTCCTGGGAGAAAATTATTTTAGCTTCCCATATTTACTAACTACATCTGAAACAAATACTCAAAGAGCAAGACTTCAAAGAGAACAGTGACACCGAGGTACTGGGATAATACTAGGCACTGTTTCCCCTTATAAATATAAATGGCCTAATCTCTTTCATTCAAACAAAGACTATTCAAAACAAAAATCTTCCCCATGGTCTAACTATATTCTATTCAGAATAAAAACCAATAAAAACAAATATCATTGAAATTTAAAATCAAAAGAGTGGTCAGGGGCATATCAAACAACTAACACAATTTAAAAGGCCTTTATTAAAATACTGCATGATACCAATCAAATTCAAAGCTAGCTACATCCCATGTGAAAAGGTGATAAAAGATACAACACATAATGGTGTTAGAATATTGATAAACTTAGATGTAATAAGTGATGTAACACTAAATATATATAATAAAAATAAATGTTCAAGACTTTACAGCTAAAATAGCCTACAGAATGCAAACAGGAAAAATTGAGCTCCATAGTACAGAATGCAAAATATCTAGACTCTAGACGATATAAAAAAAATTTGGTCAGATACTGAGTTACCAACAAAGGAAAATTGTCATAGAATCCAAAAAGTGGGCTGTATTCAACTCACATATCTCAAACAAACGATGAAGCTGAAATAAGTAACATTTAAAAAATACCACTTAGAAATTTAAACATCTTCCTAATTAACTCAAGCAAAGAAGGAAATCACAGTACAATTACAGTCAATTCATAAATGTCAACAATGGGAACTCTATACACCAACAGCATATGGGGTGCCATTCAGAGAGCAGATGGCTGCCCGAGGACAAGTCTGCCTTCCCGCCACCCCACCCCCGACTCTGACAGACATGACCCAGGGAATGTGACATGCAAGGGAATTCTGCAAAGGGAAGTGAGACTCGACTGCTGAGATTTTACTCAGAAAAATGCCAGATTGTGTTCATGTACACTAGTATTCTTGGACTGACTTTAAAATCATGCCCTTTGTGTTTTAGAGAAAGTTTAGGTTTACGAAATCCTGTAAATAGTACAGAGAATTCCTGTGCTGCCCACATCACATTTACACATGTCCACTGCTGTCAATATCTGGCGTTGGTGTGGTATTAAACTGATTGATTAGTCTTGATACATTATCAATAACTAAGGTTCAGTCTTCCTCACTACAGTCTGTGGACTTTGGCAGTGGAGTGATGGCACATATCTGCCATCAGTTTTATCCAGATGATCACCACTGACCTAGCCATGCCCTATGTGTGACTAGTCATCCT